GGGACAGTCATCTATGAGCAGGAATACCTTATCTATTGGGAGAGGAGGAGAAAAGGTAGAATTTACTAGTAGGAAAGGTGTATTTAATGGTAGGAAAATGAGGGCGTTCCCATTGCATTCTTTCTTCTTGCTTAATGAGGTATGAGGTCATTAGCAAATAATGAGAGGGATGGTCAGGAGTGTCCTGTATTTGAGAAGGAAGAAAAATGCGTGAAATAGTAATTTGGATAGTAGGGGAACAAATATACCAGAAAAGTGTAGTGCAATGCCCACCAGTGTTGAATGTCCATTTAAGATTTGAGATTATGAATGTAACAATGGAATTTTTTAGCTTTATTGTGTGTTTTCTTCATTTCTGAGTTAGATGCAGAATATGCAAGATGCTGTATTTAAATAGGGCCAGGGCTGGGCGCCGTGGCTCACGCCTATAATACCAGCACTTTGGGAGGCCAAGGTGGGTGGATCACCAGGGATCAGGAGTTTGAGACCAGTCTGGTCAACATGGTGAAACCCTGTCTCTACTAAAAATACAAAAATGAGCCAGGCGTGGTGGTGGGCACCTGTAATCCCAACTACTTGGGAGGCTGAGGCAGGAGACGTGCTTGAACCCAGGAGGCAGAGCTTGCAGTGAGCTGAAATCGCACCATTGCATTCCAGCCTGCAGCCTGGGCAACAGAGTGAGACTCTGTCTCAGAGAAAAAAAAAAAAAAAAAAAAAAGGCCAGTATTTTTGCTGAGTCCTACAGAGAGAAGAAGGTGTATAACAGCAGTGGTGTAACGGAAGTGTGGGCAGTAGGGGTGGTCTGCCACGGAGCAAAGTTTTTCAGCATTGGCAATATTTAGAATCAGCAGCATGTGGTAATAATAAACAGCATTTGGACTTTTAGTTGGTTTTATTATTGTTTTAAGATTCTCTTTAGGTAATATAGCCTTTATTGGCTTCACCTGAGAAGGATGACTCCCACTATGAACCCTCCCTGGGCCACTATAAGGGAGTTACGAATATTTACAGAGAATGGAAATGAGGATTATGCTGACTAACATGGAATCCAAAGAGATGAATAAATCTACCTCCAAAGGCTATTCCTTAATTTTAAAAAAATCCTTTCACATTAGGTACCCCTCATACTTATAATCCTATCTAAGAAATGTTATCTCCATTTTACAAATAAGGAATGGAGGAGGTTCACAGATGTGTAAATTGCTCAGGCCAGTGGATGAGCAATAGGCATGGTTGTAAAAATCTAGATTCTTTTCATCCATGGCTTTTGTGCTTTTCTCTCCACCGAGGTACCTTTCCTCAGCAGAGGAAGTCCTTTCATTTTTCTCATGTAAAAAAGTCACAGGCTATCATAGGAGAATTTATGATTACTATCAGGATTGTTGGTTAAATAAAAGAATGTAAGGCTGGTAAATATAGTTTATTTATATAAATACACAATAGGAGACTTTATCTCTTTAATATGTGATCCAGAAAATAGAATTTTGTAAAGCTGATGATGAACATTTTACATCTACTCAGGGTTACAAGATAATCAGTTCTATGTGGCCCTCTCTGATAAGCCATTTCACCTCCTTCCCCCTAAGAGACGGTGTTTAGCATGTGTGTGTGTGTGTGTGTGTGTGTATGTGTGTGTAGCAGGTAGCATCTGCAAAACTTCATTGTACACTTGTGAAGCAATGAATGTGGAAAAGCAAAAAATATCTTAGTATTATGCAAATAGTTTTGATCTTGTAGATTCCCTGAAAGAAGAATCTTAGGGAGCCTCTAGGGTTCTTCAGGCCACACATATATCCTAGAACCACTGCTCTAAGATACATACTGAGTGGAATTTTGTGGTTGTATGTGAAGGACTGAATGATATACCATCCCGAAATATGCTGGGTTGATATATTGACTACGTTGAATTGAAAACATGGCAGAAATGATAGTTTCAGAAAGGTCTAGCGGACCTATCTCTTCCTGCAGGCAGCAAGCCATAAAGACTCCTCTGAGAGGAGTACCTTCCCAGTACCAGGGCTAGAAAATAACCCTCATCACCAGAGACTGGGAACTGGGGGCTACAATGAGCCTTCATATACTTACTGTCCCTAGTCAGATTTTCTTTGTCCTGTCATTTCTTCTCAAATTTATCATGATTTGTCTAAAAAGTATAGAAGCATCTTTTTTTTTTTTTTTTTTTTTTTGCCACTTCTTTGGACTTTACTCTTTTGTGAAGTCCCCATGTACATGCAAAACTAATAAAATGTATATGCTTTTGTTTTGTTAATCTGCCCGGTGTCAATTTGGTTTATAGATTCAGCTGAAGGGCCCACGTAAGAGCTTAAAGATGGTTAGAGGTGATCTCTAACTCCCCTAATTATAGTGAGTACATCGCACACTTCCAAACTTTTCCAAAGTGCTTGTGTCAACTTAAACTCCCATCAGTAGTTTGTTAGAGTTCCCATTCCTCTACATTTTCACAGACACTTGGTATTATCAGTCTTCTTAATTTTTCCCTTAACCTTATGGGTTTTAAATGGTATGTTACTGTAGCTTTAATACATCTTTACATAAATATTCGCAAAGTTGAACATGTTTTCATACATTTGTTACCAATTTAGGTTTTTGTTTCTATGAAAGATCTGGTCATTTTCTCATTTTTACATTTTGTTTTTTGTCTTTTTAAAAAGCTTTATTTAGGTATAATTGATAAAAATATTTCTATATATTTAAGGTATACAGCTTAATGTTTTGGTTAAGTATACATTATGAAATGATCATCACAATCAAGCTGATTAACATACCTGTCACTTCAGAGTTACCCCCTTTTTTTGATGAAGACACAAGATTACCTTCTTAACAAATTTCAAGTACACAATATAGTATTGTTAACTATAGTTAGCATGCTTTACATTAGATCGCCAGAACTTATTCATGCTGCATGAGTGAAACTTTATATCCTTTGTGTTGTCTTTTTTCATACTGATTTTATAGATGTTCTTTATATATTCTGTACTGTCTTTGTCAGCTTTATGAGTTATAAATTATTTCTTCTACTCTGAGCCTTATCATTTTATTATTTTAATATTGACTTTTAATATTTTAAGTAATTGAATGTAAAATAAAATTTTACAGTTGTAGATTTTTGGGTCTTATTTAAGAAAATATTTTTTACCTTGAAGTTATCAAGGAATTTTAAAATATTTTCTTCTAAAGTCTGTAAAATTTGATGTTTTTATATTTAGTTTAAAAATCTACCTGGAATTTACTTTTGTGTATGGTTTAAGGTAGGGACCTTGTGTGAGTGTGTGTGTGCGCGTCTGTGCATGCGTGCCTGCATTATTTATTGAATAGTGTTCTTTGATTCCTTCCTATATGGCAAAATATCATTACAGAATGGCATACAGCCCTCTATTGTTGTATATATAAACATTTCTATTCTAATTTGTTTTATGTAAATTGATGCCTCTATTTATATGTTACATATTTCTTTATATCTAAAAAGATTAGTATTTATGTGTGTGTATATATTTATTTATAGTTAGGTCGTTTCCTAGATCCTGTATCTATGATTCACTCTAGACGGCAGCCTGGGCGCTATTGTATCTTTACAAAAAATTATTATTTTTATGGATACATAGTAGGTATAAATATTTATGAAGTACATGAGATATTTTGATAGTGGTATGTAATGTGTAATCATCACATAAGGGTTAATGGGATATCCATTACCTCAAGCATTTGACCTTTTCTGTGTTGTGAACAATCTAGTTGTATTCTTTTAGCATCTTAAAATGTACAATAAGTTACTTTCAACTTTAGTCACCCTATTGTGCAATCAAATACTAGGTTTATTGATGGATTGATTGATTTTTAATTTTTTCAGAGAAAGGGTCTTGCTCTGTCACTCAGGCTAGAGGGCAGTGGCAGGAATATGGCTTACTGCACCCTCTAGGTCCTGGGCTCGAAAAATCCTCCTGCCACAGCCTCCTGAGTAGCTGGGACTACAGGCACATGTCACCACTCCTGGCTAATTTTTAAAGTTTGTTTTGTAGATATGTGACTTGCTATGTTGCCTAGGCATAGGTATCAAACTCCTGACCTCAATCGATCCTCCCTCCTTGGCTTTCCAAAGCACTGGAATCACAAGTGTGAGCCACCATGCTCAGCCTTTAAATAGTAGATCTTATTTATTCTCTCTAACTGTATTTTTGTCCCGTTAACAATCCACTCTTTCCTTCCACACCATCCCCCACTACCCTCCCCAGCCTCTGGTAACCATCATTCTACTCTCTATCTCCATGAGTTAAATTGTTTTCATTTTTAGTTCCCACAAATGAATGAGGACACGTGAACGTTGTCTTCAGCACCTGACTTCTTTCACTTAACACATTGTCCTCCATTTCCATCCATGTTGTTGCAGATGACAGGATCTCATTCTGCTATTATGGCTGAGTAATACTCCACTGTGTATATGTACCACATTTTCTCCACTGTGTTGATAGAAACTTAAGTTACTTCCTCTATTGTTTCTTGAGGAAAGGTATAATTCAAAATATTTTGGAGGTTGAATCAATACTGAGGCCTGGGAGTCAAATTACACAATTGAATGAAATACAATTAATTAAATATTTCTGACAAAGGTTGATACTATAAAGTGTGCCATAGGCATGTATTAACTTATTTCCATGAATAAGTAAAATTATCTGAAGAAGAGAAACCCTGGGGGTGAGATTTAGGGCATTATATTTAGATAATAATATTAAATTTTTTATTTGCATTAATACTTGATGAAGCCCTCAGTAAGAGGCATTCAGCATAATCCCTCCAGTACCATTGAGCATTCTGAGACATTCTGTTACCTAGAATGTGACAGTCAAGTGAGAAAGTTGGAACAGCTTGTTTTTTTCCTAAGATAATAAAGGTGTGAAGAAGAATGCTCAGGAACATTTGGTTCAATCTCAGTCAGGAACACTGAGACTGTTCCGCTGATTACTTTGTTTTATTTGTTCCCTCAGGAGTCCGCCTTTAAAAAATATTTCAGAGAAGAAGTGTTTTTCCCTTCACTTCGGGAATTCTACATGAGGGAATGTGTGGGAACAGAACTGGATCACAGAGGCTCCAACAAGCTGCATCCCCCTCTGCACACCCCACTAGGTCCTAAGACTCCTGAGGCACACATCAGACTCCCAAAGTCAGGAAGTGGGGATGTGAGGTAGTTTGAAAATTCTCCCTTGGTAATTCTAATATGCCTTCTTTCACCTTGCACTATCACTCCCTACTCCCTCCTGAAAAATCACTCTTCCCATGCCAGTAGTTAACAACATAACTCTTCTATGCTGAAAAAGGAATGCAGTTAAAATCTTTAGGAATTTATGTTGGGAAAAGGTGCTGGGCTGAAAAATGTAGCCTTACATATATCTGGATATATATATCATAGATTTTTATTAGACCTAAGAACTGTTTTAAATAGGGTTTATATTTCTTTAGGAATACATCGAGATGATGGGCAAGTGCATGTGTTTTTGGTTGTCCTGGGAGACCTAAGTGTGTGCTTCCACTGCAACCACTTCAGCTTCACTGAAGTAGTGCAGAGCTGAATGACTTGGATTCTGAACATACTGGCTCATTCAGCTAAGTGAGACATATTAGCAATTAACATACACATTTGCACTTATAGACTTAGTCTAGTAGATTTTGATGCCACCTGGAGTTATGCTTACATTTTTTTTTCATTCTATTTATTGTAATTGATAAGATTCTGCCTTATACACAGTCCTTTTTGACACTGAGTGCCATTGCTTTTAATATGCAAATCTGATACTTTCACCTTATCACATATACTTCTTAATGCAAAGAAACTGATTTCTGATACTTTTTGTATATTGTTCTCAAATGAACAAATGACATTTAGACCTTTAGGTGCTGTCCTTTCCTTTCCTATTTGTGAAAGAAGTCACTTTACCAATTCCTTAAAGCTACTGCTACAAGTTAATGTAAAGAACCTCTATTAGCACACTCTTCTTAAACTCCTTGATCATTAGTTGCACTGAATAATACGTCTTGCCATAATCAGTCTTTCTCAGTTATTAAGGATATCTAAAATACAGGATAAACTTTTACCACAAACTTGGATTAAGAAGGTGAATTAGCCCAAGTATCTCAGGGTGTGTTTATCAAATATTAAGCATGTAGGCAATCAGAACTCTTAAATAATCTGTGACTGTCAAATTAATGTAAATAAACAACAATCTTTATTCTCCCACAGGACCACATTCAAAACTGTGGAATGGTGCATCATATTTCAAGTCTCATAGCTTCCCTTTTTTGTCTTCTCTTCCATCCTCATTAAGGTCCTTACTAGAAGCATCTCGGTCATTTGTTCCTCTCCCGAGGCTTGTTTTCATGCGCTGTTGACACTAAAACTTGAGGCCAGGCAAAGAACTTCCTCTGAACCATCCCAGCAGAACTGCCATTGTTCTGTGACCCTACTGGAGGCCACACAGAGACCATTAACTGCCTCTCACCTTCCTTGTTCTGTACCTTTAAACACATGACAACCCAATCCCCCTCCCCCTACAATCTCCTTTTCCATTTTTCCTTAAATTTCTGAGATGGTCTTTGAGAATTTCTCTGTAGTATATTTTTCACTTCAGTCCATTATACACTGAGGTAGTTTTCCTTATGGTGTTTTAAATTGAACATGGTAAACATAATGTCTAAGGATAATGAAGAAAAAGGGAGAAAGTTTTGCTTAATCTATAGACTGATGACTATGAAGATTTCATTTTATAACATACAGCAAAATAAGGAAAATTCTTAAAAGTATTTTAGAAAATAAAATAGAAAGTCTAAATTAATTTCATGGTGTAACAAAAAGTTTAGACTTTGATAAAAGTCATCCCAACACCACATCCTTTAGAATATGGGACACAAAATCTATTGGAGAAAGGTCAGTTCGAATTTACACAGAGCTTAAGACCCCAACTACTTTTTATTTTGATGTTCAACATTGTTAGAATATCTCTCATCACCGAAATGAGAGATGAGGAATTCAGGAGTTTGAACTGGTGACAGCCTCTGCTGGGGCAGGGTTGGCTCTAGGCATTGTATAAGTCTGACTCAGCCACTATAGCATTGTGTACATACCTTGGGATTAATGACCAAGACTTTAAATATAAAATAAAAAGCTGTAACACTGGGAGGCCACAGCTACAGTAACTTGGGACAAACATAGCTGAGACTAACCCTGGGAGCTGAGACTTTGCTTTTCCCTGTACACTCTGAGAAGCTACCATCTGATCAGAAGAGATATCACTATTGCAGTGAATAAGGTCAGCATATAATCTTCCTGTTTTCACAGCAGCACCATACGGCAGTGACAGCACCTTCTGCAAGAAGAGAAACTCTAAACCGATTACAACAGTATCATTTCTGTGTTGAACCATAAGTCACTGGAAACCCACTGCAACCATGCTTCCATAATAGTAGCTGGAATCTCCAATTCTAGAAAGAAAAGGTAATAATTCCTCTTATAATAAAACCTCAAAAATTAATTTCTTCTTATTAGAAAAACTATCATTTATGCTAATAGCACAAGGATAAATTTCCTAAATGAAAAGTCAAATGGAAGGATAATTGTTATCTACAAATATGATTTTTTGTGCCTGTTCTCATGACTATATATATATATATATATATAAATTTTCTTTCGAGATAGAGTCTTTGTTGCCCAAGCTGGATTGCAGTGGCACAATCTCAGCTCACTGCAGGCTCCACCTCCCAAGTTCAAGTGATTCTGCCATCTCAGTCTCCCAAGTAGCTGGGGCTACAGGCACGCACCACCACGCCCGACTAATTTTAGTATTTTTTGGCAGAGACAGGGTTTCATCACATTGGCCAGGCTGGTCTCAAACTCCTGGTCTCAAGTGATTGGCCTGCTTTGGCCTCCCAAAGGATTGGTATTACAGGTATGAGCCACCATGCCCATCCTCATGATCATATGTTAATTTGTAGACAACATATAAAAATCAAATCATAACTCAACTTCTTTATGTAGAAAAAATACTAAGGAGTAGTAATTTTCTTCACTGGGTGAAAGAAAGGATAACTTCTAAGGCATTACTAACTAAGCTAAACATTGGGCATGAAATTTATTGATTTCTATATCCTTATTAGTCTCTGAGAAGGCTTGTTCAAAGTGGGAGACTCCCTGGATTTGGGACTTTTCACTTTGGTTACAAGATCCCTTATAACATTAAGTGTTACCACCACCTGGCCAAGTACTAGCTATAAAAAGTCACAGAACTTTCTAATTAGGGGTGCTGTAAATGCTCAATAATTAATATGCAGCAGCTATCTGCACTGGGAATTGCATGGAATGGTTCTTAGTTTGTTGGTCCAGGTCTCAATGTTTAGATTCAGTAGCATCAATATAACTTGCCAACACAAAGTACTTCCAACTATATGCCATGCTCCTTCCCACACACATGCTGTCTAGCTTGAGGCTGCTGGGCAGACGTGTGTGTCAAATATTGATGACAATTCACACAAACTTTGTAAAAGAACCACTTTTTCTTTCCCCTTAAAATAATGTTGAAGTAACGTACATGTAGCTTTGAGGAGGAGGCAGGCACATTCAAGCTCATGGAGAAGACTGATAGCCACAGGTAGGTACTCGTGTGAAGTGAATGTAAATCATCAGACAGAACATACTCAGGAGGCACTGTCTAGCATAGGTAAGCTTTGCAATTGTTATTTAATATGGGAAAAGCATAAGAATAAAGCCTGACAGATACGGCCTTAACCAAGTGATCAAAGTTAAAATCAGAGATAAATCACATTAATATCATCTGTCCTCTGACATGATGCAATGAGAAAGATGTTTCACCTAGTGGGGTTCTTTGTAGAAATTCATAACCTCAGTGTAATAATAAGAAATTGTGAGGCAAATGCAAAATGAAGGCCATTCTACAAAATGCCTAACCAGAACTCTTGAAACCTCACTGTCACACATTGTGACTTTAACAGAGAAGTATTGTTTCTAAGGGTGAATGAGCAAATTCGAAACATGGTGAGGAAAGAATGGAGATGGCAGATTCTTTTAGTAAGGGAATGAAGAAATTGTTAGAATTACTAAAAATCATAACAAAAATATCACCACTCTTTGTAACACCACATAAGAAGGATTCTGAGCCATGAAAATGACTGTTCTCAAAATATATTCTCCCAGTATACCACTGCAATCCTTAAAAGATGAAGGCAACTATTCTTTAAAAGCCCAAAGGATCATGAAGCTAAACACTGGAATTTTAAAACAAAATGCTGCAAAAAAAAAAAAAAAAAAAAAAAAAAAACTTTAGAGAGGCCACTAAATATTCTAGGTAGCCTCTTTTAAAGGAACTGACCTAGTATGATGCTAATAAACCATGTTTATACTCAGTGAACTTTGTGGATTCCCTAAGCTGTTTCTTTTCTGAATGTTATGTTCTGACATCATGTAAAATATGTGTAACGAAAACACTGAGGGCAAAGAATCAAAACAATTTGGACAGATAACATCTTTGAGACAAGCTGATATTGCTTGCATTTGAGAATTACAGAGGGAGGGAAGATGAGATGGGCCATTGGTGTCTTCCCACAACTTCATAAATCTGCTGACAATTGCCAAATTTGGAAAGTCAAGTGAAAACAGATGGGCAGAGTAAGAAAGATCAGAGGATATCTTTGACAGTCACTTCTGGTAAGAGCTCTGGGAAATCTGTTCATCTGAAGTCTAGACAATGTGATACAGAAGGTTTTGTGCCTGACAATTTTATCTGAAGTCAGGAAGGAAAAGAAGCCCCTACTAAATCTTTGATAAATTGTCCTGTCAGTGTGTTCACAAATTGCGGAACATATTTCTTTTACCAGCTGTGCAAATGTAATATATGAGAGGCCATATATTAGTTTAGTTACGATTCAGTCATTTCAGAGACTCTTTGGAATATATAAACACTATACCTATTTCTTTTCTATTTTTATGATTGGCTGGATGACTCATTTTTAGGCTAGCGTCCAACCTAGACTGAAGGTGAGCTGCTCACTAGTTGGCACAGACTTTAGCACTGGAGAGAACTTTACCACTGGAACGAATCTTGGCAGTAACTTGCTAGCTGAGGAATTGTGGGCAAGTCAGTTAGCTTCTCTAGGCCTCAGCTATCAGAGAAAGACAAGAGTGGGTTGAGTGTTGTGTGTAAGACAGACATAGATATCAAGAATGATACCAGTTTTTTGACTTGAGCAACTGGAAGGATAAAGTTGCCATTCATAGAGGTAATTGTCTGAGGCTTGGAAATGTTTGGGGTTGGTGCTCAGTGTTGGCTATATTAGATGTAAGATGTCTAGAAGACAGCCAAATGAAGAGGTTAAGTAGGCAGCTGGATAAGTTTAGAAAGAGGTTGGGAGAGAGATAAATATTTGGGAGTTGACAGCATATGGATAGTAATCAAAGCCATCACTAAGAGACTGAGTGCAGGTAGAAAAGAAGCATTCTGAGGATAAGACATTGGAGACCAAAAGAGGAATCTATAAAGAAGTGGTAGGGACAAAATTTGGAGTGTATTTAAGACAATGAGAGGTGAAAGGAAAAAGAATTGGAGATGTTGAATATACATTTTAGGAGTTTGCTGCAAACAGAGCAAAGAAATGGGGCTGTTGCCGGCAGTAAAAGGGGCAGGCAACTTTTTTGTTTTGTTTTTGGCTGTGAAAAATAGCAATATTGGGGAGCGGATAAAAACATTTCAAAGGTTTTTGCATCCAGGCAGTATGGCTCCAGACAGCATGCTTTTAATGTTGTGATCTACAATTCTAGTATGATAGGATATACATATCCAGCATGAAAGGAAGGATCAGTGATAGAGGACAGGAAATGGAGAAATGCTGGGAAAAGTCCTTGGGCAGCCACACAGGAGGGGGATCTCATTTAGTTCTGCTAGGAATAGAGACATTTCTAGATTTTTAACTGGAGAGAAAGAAGGCAATGTGGGCACAGACAGAATTAGGTGGATTGTTGTGGTGGGGGACATTCTCTTTTAAGAGAATCATCTAAGAGTAAGAGTGAGAAAGAGCTGTTAGAAATTTGAAAAGAGGGCTGGGTGCAGTGGCTCACGCCTGCAATCCCAGACCTTTGGGAGGCCGAGGCAGGCAGATCATGAGGTCAGGAGTTCTAGACCAGCCTGGCCAACATGGTGAAACCTCGTCTCTACTAAAAATACAAAAATTAGCCAGGTGTGGTGGCACATGCCTGTAATCCCAGCTATTTGGGAGGCTGAGGCAGGAGAATTGCTTGAACCTAGGAGATGGAGGTTGCAGTGAGCTGAGATTGCACCACTGTGCTCCAGCCTGGGCGACAGAGCAAGACTCTGTCTCAGGGAAAAAAAAAAAAAAAAAATTGAAAAGAGAAAAGCAGTTAGGAGAGTAGGAGAGTGAATAATTAGGAAAATACGATATCGTTGCTGGGCAGCTCTAAAGGCCCTCTCCAGGTAGTGCTTAGAATGCACAGAGGATTAGTTCTTTTAATTTATGTAAACATTTCAGCCTTCCACATCATCTAAAGAGCTTTCAAATAATTATAAGTCTTGAAACAGCAATGCTCTACTGAGACTAAATTTCTATCAATTTTATCACTTGTGTTAAAGTATACGTTTGATCTGTACTAGAACTAGAAATATAGTTAGAGCTCATGCATTGCAGTGGGCACCAGGCCTTGTCTTCAAGGTCAAAGACTAAGAAATACTTGATGTAAATAATTTCTATTTGGATATGAATTAAACATTTCCAACTAAACACATCCAAAACAGAACTCTTTCATCTGTTTTCCTCATCCTCCAGCCTTCCCGCCTCCTCTCCCATCTCGTTTTGAAGCTCCTCAATCTCAGCAAATGTTACTACCATTCATTCAGTTGCTTTAGCCAAAACACCTGTCAATATGCATTCAAATTATTTCTCAAAAACTCTTCCTTCCTTTCATTCTCACTTATGTTACCATGACTCAAACCACTCCACTTAGATTACCATAAACTCCTAACTGATCTCTGTGCTTCTACTTGTGGCTCTGCTACAAGCCACAAACAAGGCAGAGTGGTCCATGTCACCCTGTTTGTTTATTGCCCTCCAGTGGTTTCCCATTGTGCTTAGAATAAAATCTGTACTTTGCCCACGTGGCCATGTCTGAGCTTGCTTTTCTGCCTGCTAACTTCAGCGTGTCCCACATATGCGTCGTTTACTAGATTTTAGCCATACAGGTCATCTTTTATTTTTTTTTTCTTTCAATATTTTGTACAAATTAAGTGCATTCCTGTCTCAAGGACTTCATAACTATATTTCCTTTGCACAAATCCTAATCTCTCTCCTCTTTGCATAGCTAGTTTCTTCCAATAGTCTTCCAAAGATATTTTTTTTTCCTCAGCTCAAATGCTATTTCCTCAAAGAAATCTTTCCTGACCATTCTGTTTCCTGGTGCTACTAGAAAGAAGTTAG